AATAAGTAACTTCTGTTGGTCTTAACTTTTAAAGAGGAAAGAAAGTAATTGGGAATAAAGAAAGTTAAAGCAGAAAGGGGAGAAAGACTTTTTTTTTTTTTTTAAGAGAGAGAGAGAATTTTGTTAATATTTATCTTTTAGTTTTTGGCGGACACAACATCTTTGTATGTGGTGCTGAGGATGGAACACAGGCCGAACGCATGCCAGGCAAGCGCGCTCCTGCTTGAGCCACATCCCCAGCCCTTTTTTTGTTGTTGTTGTTAATCAGTGAAGATAAAGAAAAAGTAACCTCATGAAAAGAACAAGATCAACAATGGATTTAAGAGTAAACTGCAGCATGTGCTCTTTCAAAATGCAAATTACCCCATGTTATAAAGASCATAAAGCTCAGGTACTGGAGAGCTTTGGAGTTACAGGGTATCTAATCTAAATGGCTCTTTCCAACCCAATCATCCAAGTTACTCAGCTCTCTGGAACACAGTGGAACCCTAAGAGTAGGAACCAGGATGCTGAAAGAAGAAGGTAAAAACTTTAAGAAAGAATCAATGGAATGAGAACCAGACATGCTGAGAATGATGGAAGGACAGGGAATGCCTTCCAATATACATTGTCTCTGCAGCAAGACAAAAATCCATTTATAAGCATTTCACTAGAACTTTAGCAAAGGAAAACCTAAAATGCTTCTAGTAAGAAGGCTTTTCTTCTATCACTTGGATTTTCAGGACTTAATTTAAAAGATTAAAGAAGGAATGCTACATTTGCATTCCCAATCCATCCATATCACTCTCAACAAATTTCATTAATCTTTGAAGTTCTTACTTAAACTCCCTAAAAGTGTTTCAAGTTTACTAAAAAGTAAAGGCACCAATGTCATATAAGTTGTGAGATTTAATAACTTCAGTTTCTCAATTCTTATATTCAAGTGGTCATTTTACAAGCGCCACAAGGCATATTAGATGGAAGACTGAGGAAGAAGGGCTAGTAGTGTGGTTAAGTGTCCAAATATGGCAGTGCGTCAGCAAAAATGAAATTGCAAAGCAGAGGTTACCAGAGCCCTCCTAGGGGTCAGTGGAAACCCAGCGGGCTCCTTATCTATTTGGACCTGCGCAATTTGATACTATTCTTTCCCAACATCAATCTCTCTAATCAAGTCCTCTTTTCACCTGAATTTTAAAATTTTGAAGTGATAATCCAAAGTAATAGATATTAAAGGGACTAAATGGGCAGATGCTTTGTTGGGTGTTAGGAGATRGGAATATGTGTCAGTTCTTCTACTCTATTTTCCAGACTTCCTATATGGATTATTTTGATAAGATTAAAATGAAGGGCAAAAAGCTAATTTCTTTCCCAGTTAYTAAAACAAAGATCCCTCCCTCCCCCAAACAAAGAAATAAGCTAAATTAGTTCGAAATTTCTGACTGAGCAAGTTGGAATAACAACAGGTAACATTACCCACTTACACTAAGCAGCAGTCACTCTACTAAGCCCATTACGTACAGCACTGATATGAGATCTATCCCCATTTCACAGATGTGGAAACAGTAACTTAGAGAATTAGAGTAATTTGCCCAAGGTCATACAGTTATTTAGTAYTGGGGCTAGGGGTAGGAGGTCAAATTTGAGAGCCTGTATTCTCATCTAGTATAGTTATGATGACAATATGCAAAATTTTTATTAAACTACATATACTTTTTCTAAAATAAACATACATTCACAAATAAAAGAATCCAGAAAACATAAAACAGTTGGTTAAATAAGACAAGTTAAATGTCTACCATCTGGAAGTAGACCCCTAAATGTCTACACCATAATCACTACTGAGTTAGCTCCACAGTAAACAACTAAATTATTCAGTGTTCTGATGTAGTTGTAAAATTCTTTTTAGTTGAATCTCTCAAAATGCTACTATACATTCTTCAAATGAAATAGGCTGCCCTCTTAGGAATTGTGAAAATACATTAATTCTTGATGTATTCACTGTCCTAGTTCTGTTCAGTTTCCTCCCTTCCTCCCCAACTTCCGCTCTGCCTTCATATCCTTTAAGACCAGTTAAGTTCCTCTTTCTTAAGAATATCTATATGCATGCTTTACCCAAGAGAACGCAAACATTAGTGTCTGTGCTCAATAACTGTAGGGTGGTACAAACTTAAAAAATGAACTCAAGCAGAAAAAGAGCATTTCTAATGCATCTTCTGCTTTAGATCTATGCAACTGCAGAACTAATTCTAAACATTCTTATTTTTCTGCTTTACACGTGGAATCCTGCCTTTCACAATTTCTTGGCCTGTTTTTCAAAATATTTTTTCCACAAACTTTCCCATAAATGAGAAATTTTAAAAACAGGCCAGGTGTGGTGGCATACTCYTATAATCCCAGTGCCTTGGGAGGCTGAAGCAGGAGAATTGCAAATTCAAAGCCAGCTTCAGCAATTTATCGAGGCCCTAAGTGACTCAGAGAGACCATGTCTCAAAATAAAATTAAAAATAAGGCTGAGAATATGGCTCAGTGGTTAAGTACCCTTGGGTTCAATCACCAATACCAAAAACTAAAAAGTGAAACAAGGAAATGTACTGTTAAATGGTAGTATTTCACATTTTAGTAATGTAAATAACTTATTCTAAATCATTTCTAAACTTTAAATGTTTTATAAGTACAGTGTATAAAAAATGTTGGTTATTTATCAATACCTAGTATGTACTTTCATTCATTCACTCAATAAATAATTATTGAATGCTCATATAACTTTTTTTTTCCCTGAACCAAGATGAGTGGACACAGGTGCTGAAGGATCCTGGCTTGAAATCTAGCTCTTGTACTTAGAAGCTCAGAGATGTAGTCAGTTAAACTCCAGGTTAACATTTCATTTATTTATTTGATGGGAGAACAATAATTACTTCTAGGGTCTTGATGAGTTTAAATAATTATGTAAAAAAKAGCACAGGGCCTAAAATCAGTTAAGTACTTTAAAAACGACAACCACAATAGACACCTTATAATACTTAAGAAAGTATAGTTGAAAGAGATGGCTGATAAATGTTCTCTCTTATTAAAAAGAAAATTGTGAAATACTATATTAAAGATATATTAAAACTAAAAATCCAAGGGGTGTGACAGCCTACACATGTAATCCAGCCACTCAGGAGGCAAGAGGWCTGCAAATTCAAGGCCAGTCTCAGCAACTTGGTGAGAACCTGTCTGGACCTAGGGAGGGCCTAGGGATGTAGCTCAGCGGCAGAATGCCCCTGGTTTTGATCCCCAGTTATCTTTCTGAAACAGGTATGTGTATACACACACAGAATACTAAAAATCCTAAGGTTATGTAAGAAATTTTCCACTTTTTAAAGAGAGATATACTAACTACATAGGTTAAAAGATAAAAATAGGAAAATATGAAAGAGATGGATAAAGAAAACCCTGAAAGCTGTCAAGCATGGGTAATTAGTGTATTCTATTTTTATGAAAATACAAAAATTTTAAGTCATAAATCCCCAGAATGAGCCTAACATATTTCCTCATACTCGGGAGAAATCAGGATTTGAGCCTTGAGATGTGTTGAACTAACACTGGTCAAGTTTTCTCAAACCAGTCTACTTTTCAATATAAAAGTGAACACAGGGAATACTTACTGAATGTATTAAAGGGTAAAAAAAATGCAAGCTTTTCAGCTGCTTGTTAGTACTACAGCAGCAATACACATCCCCTAACCCCAGTGTTCTTCAAAAAAACTACCACTTTAAAAATTTAAGGCAATCACAGAATCGGCCTCCAAACCTAAAGGTGAGCACATCAGAGTTGCTACTAACTTCAAATTGTGAAGGATTCCATTATTAATTCGTATAAAGATTTTGTGTGATGTTTCTCGGTTGCTTCTAGGTCTTATCACTTTTTTTTTTTTTAAGATGTATCGCTGCRTAACAATACAGTACTACCCGCACGCACGGAGAGTGTGGCCATTAATTTCTTTGAGAGGCTTAAGAAGCTTAACGTACAGTCCTGGTACCTAAATTAAGCTGACTAACAACACAAAATTTCAAGTCACACCTTGCCTATCTCTGCACAAGCAAGTCAACACTAGCAAAACAGACCAGGAGCACGGAGTAAAGCCCTAATCTCTGTGCTAACCTTAATTCCTATCATCAAGAGGTTGGCTCTGTCAAAAATATTCTTAACTCACTATGAATCTGCGTTTCAAGTGAAGCCTACTAGCTCTCGGCAATAGTTCAGCAACAAAGCACAAGATCCATAAATCCAACAGAGCCTATTTCTGCAGAACGAAAGCCCTCTGCAGTTTCAGTCTCGGTTTACCCATTCATTATGCACAGGCAGGCGTCGTTCTCGTTTTTATGAGCAATAAACTTTATTCTGGCTTCAGAGATCACACCTCTCCGCGCCCCGGGCAGACCCTGGAACTCAGCAACGCCCAGGTCGGATTTTCACCTTCCCCAACTTTGGCTCCCGGCGAGCGCGGACGCCCAGCATCCTCCTGCCGTCGTCCTCCCGTGACTCGGGCCACTTTGACGCACCGGGATGCGGCTCACCTGACCCTCTGCACCAACCACTACCAAAGGGGAAAACCCACTCCGCCAAAATAAAATGGGTCCCTGAGGAAGCGTGCGGGTGCCCCTAAGCCGGTCTTCTGCCTCCGCCCCGAAGCCGGGGGGCCACGYCGCCCAGGCCCCCAGTGGCCTCTGCCACCTGCCCGACGAGGCCGCGCGCGGCTGGGGCCCGGCGCGCCGCAGGGAGCAGGCTGCGGGTCCCGGCCCGCCCGGCGTCCGCCCGGCGGCGCGGGGGCAGGAACCCGGGGCCGGAGGTTTCCGCCCGGCGCGGCCAACCCGGCAGGGGCCTAGCGCGGGGGCCGCCCGGGCTCCCGACCCCCGCCCCGGCTGTCCGGGACGCGCGCCGCCACAGCCCGGCCCGCCAAGCTTCGGGCGGCGGCGGCGGCGKCGGCACCCGCACCTGCCCCGCGCCCTGCGGCAGCCCGGGTGAGCGGCTTCACCCACCTGGCGTCCCCGCCGCGTCTGCACGTCAGGCGCGACCCCGCGCGCCTAGCACTCCCGGCGCGTGTGCGGGCGGGCGCCGGGAGACCCTGCTCGGCCGCCGCCCGGTTGGTCGTCAGGCCGCCGCCCGCGAACCTGTTGCGCAGCCTGTCACGGCCGCTCGGCTCCGCCGGCGCCGCCTCAGCCCCACAACAACATGGCGGCCGCGGCCTCCGCAGGAAGCCGGGGGGCGGGGAGGCGGGCGCCGGGCCGGGCAGCCGATGGCCCGCCCGCCGGGCACTGCCGGGCACCGGCTCCCCACCCTCGGGAGCCCCACGCGGCCGGCGCGGCTCCTCACCCCCGGAGCCCCGAGGCGCCGGACCCCGCGGGCCTGGCCCGAAGTCTCCTCTGTCCTCCGAGAGGCTACGAAGCCCCGGACCCGGCAGCCCTTCCTGGAGCTGCGACGACCCACCTGGCTCCTCCTCCCCGAGGTGACATGCTGAGGTTGGGTGGTGCGTTTCCTGCCACAGTGGACCCCAGGGTTTCGGAAAGGGCCCGGCGGTGCCCAGCTCGTCCCTTTCTCTCTACGTGGGACGCTCCCTGGAGCCTTCGCACGCGCGGAAGGTCTCGCCACGGATCCGGGGGCGCCGATGCCCTGGGAATTGGGGAAGGGGCGTTGGCAAGAGGTGGCTCCCACCCTTGGTCACGGGACCGTTCCGGGCCTCGGGAACCGGGCCCAGGCACCGCTGCAGGACTTCACCGTATCCAAGCTTCACCCATTCCCCTTCCCTCACCCTCTTCCCTAACTCCCAGAAAGGGCCGACGAGGAGAGCCCTCTRCCCCACTCACTCTAGCAACTCCCCGTGGACTCTGACCCAGCTCCAGAACTGTCCCCCCCAGACCCTTCTGCCCGCAGGAGCTAAGTAGCTTACCCWTCCCACAGCCACCGGACGGTGACTCTCAAACTCGGAATTTTACCCGCTCCCAGTTCCCGGTCTCCTCACAAAAGACCAGACTTGATCCACCAGCCTGCGCCCGGGGCTTGCCCTTGACACAGCTTGCTCTCCAGAGAAAGGCTTCCTCTGTGATTGGGGTGAGGAAGGAGTCAGTAGTTCCTAATGAGCAAAACAGAGATGTCTGTTGGTTTTTAGAGCAGGGACAGGACGGGTCTGAGGTACAAAACTCATATCCATATGACTTCCTTTGATGCAGGAGATCAAATGACTCTGGCTTCCTTACCATTTCTTTCCTGTTGTGGCAGGTGAAGGTAGCAAGGCTGGCAGCAATGCCCAGGCCTACCTAAACTGGCCAGCCAACTCTGGTGAGGAATTTAGCCAACATCAACAGTGATGAACAGGCTTTTCTCGCTCTCACACTCAGGGTTTTTCCTGACAGACAAGTCCTGAATGTCTATGACGTAGAAAGGTCTGACTCCTTGGTATTAGTCTAGGAGGTCCCTCACTTCCTGGTGACCAATCAATAAGTTCTCCTTTGCAAGCAAACCACTCTTGAGCACCTGGTCTCATTTCCATTTCAGACTTCACTGATTAATTGTAGTGGTTCTTTTTGGAGCTCATATTCAAGGGTCTAAGCCTCTGAGTCTTTCCCAACCACTTGGTAACATCAAACCTATTTTTTATTCTTGATAGGCAGATAGCCAATCTCCATTTCCCTCCCATCATTGATCAATGTCATTTGTGTTTCAAGGTTCTGGACCTGGTATAATTCACCCTGAGTCCTCATTCTCTCTGAACAAGGTGCCAAATCCTTGGCTGGACAAAAGTGGAATTTGTAGGAAGAGATGTTTACTAAGAAAAAAAACATTGAATCGCCTCTCTAAAATAAACTAAAAAGATAATAGCCTCTGATAGGAACTGGCATACTGTACATAGACCAAGCACTAAAACTATATCCCAGGGTTTCCTTCAGAACTTTGAGGCCACTTTGTCCATCCCATTCTACTCTGTCACAGCCCCAAATACAAGATTCATTCAATCATCTATCCCCACAAGTATATAGAATTTGGATAATATTAAGCATTTGGCTGTTAGATATAAGTAATGAGGGAAGAAAAGGAGTAAAGGATTCTTAGCTTTCTAGGTAGGCCTAGGTAATGATAATTCTCTTGAACAAGAATGGAATATAGGAGGGGAGCACAGACCTTAGAAATGACCAAAGAAACATGCTTGCTTTTCTTGCAACTTCTAGATCATTTCCACTCACATGYAAAAGTCCTTCTTTAATTTTTTTAACACCAGCTATCTTTATCCCTGAACCAACCTAACAATCCCTATATTTTACCAACTTCCAGGGCATTCAGTTTATCAAGAATTTCAGCACCTGGAGTAGTAGKCTTCTCCATCTAGAACCCTCATCATTCTTAGTGTCTTTAGGTATTCATGATTCACATAGGTGACATACCCACTGTCCTAGTTCACTGACTTGCTCTTCTCATCAGGCAGGCCTTGAAATGGGAACTGTAAATTTCCTCCTTAGTATTTTCCAAATGCCACCACCTCTTCCTCTTTTTCACCCCCTACTACCAGCTGATGATACAAATTTCTGATTTTCATTAAATTTTTAAAAATTTCAAGCATTTTTAAGTTTTTTTTATATAGTTGTACATGGACAGCATGCCTTTATTTTATTTTTTTAAATGTTTATTTTTTAGCTTTAGGTGGACACAATATCTTTATGTGGTGCTGAGGGTAGAACCCAGTGCCACAACCCCAGCCCATATTTTATTTGTTTTTGTTTTGTTTTGTTTTGTTTTTATGTGGTGCCAAGGATCAAACCCAGTGCCTCACACATGCTAGACAAGCACTCTGCCCCTGAGCTCCAGCCCCAGCCCCTCAATCATTATTTCTTCAAATACATTTTTCTGCCCCTTCTCTCCCTTATCTCCTCTTGGCTTTCCAACTGCATGTGGTTTTTTTTTTTTTTTTAAGAGAGAGAGAGAGAGAATTTTTTAATATTTATTTTGTTTTAGTTTTCGGCAGACACAACATCTTTGTTTGTATGTGGTGCTGAGGATCGAACCCGGGCCGCACGCATGCCAGGCGAGCGCGCTACCGCTTGAGCCACATCCCCAGCCCTGCATGTGTATTTAACTGTTCAATATCATTTGAGGTTCATATTACATGTGTCCCAATAGTCTAGCCATGTTCCACCATGGAGTGTCAGAAACACCTGGCTCTGATTGATGAAAATATGCCCCTTTTAAAGCTGTGCTGCTTTTACCTCTCTTTGGTAGGAATTAGTCCATCTATGTTCAGTCTCTGTGCTTTCTATCTAGGGTAACTGTTTAAATCTGTTAAAAAAAAAAAAAGTCACAATCTCTCCATCCCACTCCTAAACACACGTACACATGCTTATATACTGTCACATCGATTCTACCCCTTTGAGAAATAGGTGAAAAGTGAAGTTCGTTCCTTTTTCGATTTCTTTTTCCTCTCAAAACCCAGACAAAAGAACAGATGTGCTGACAATAATCTTTTGTGGATAAAAAACTCAAGTCAATCTGGGAAACCAGGCTGAGGCTGCCACATTATTTGATCATAAGAGCAGATGAAAAGCATGCCAGAGTAAGGGGATCAGGGTGGAGGAAAAGGGCTAGGCCTTCATTTAACAGTTGTCAATTCACTAATTGGATATTTGTTTTAATTAATTAAATAGTTATTTAAAAACCTCTCATGTTATTAATTCACAGGAATGGTCAATGGTACAAACTTGGTCCTTGGCTCAGTTTGTTGAACTCGCCCTATTCTAGACCCTATGCTGGAAGAGAAGCAGAAAAATGAAAATAGGAGTGATTTAGGGGAAAGAGAAGGGAAGGGAATTACCCTGGCATGGAAAGGGGTACTCCTATCTTCGGGCCACTTGTGTTGTGCATAACTTGAGACTCTGGCCTGATGCCTATGGTACCGGAAAGGCAGTGCCAGGGAAGCTGAAGGGGGAAGTTAGCCCAGACTTGGCCCTAGGCCAGCACTGCAGGGTGGAGCCAAAGGCCAGACTGGGTGAAGCCTGGAGGCCCTGGACAGGATGTGCTCATTCATGAGTGAAGCAGCAGGGGCTTCCAGTGTGGCAGGTGTAGCTCAGAGAAAGGGAATCCAGTCTGATTCAAGAGTCAGACATGCTTCCTGTCTGGCATATATGCCCAGCTGTCTGTTTATTCCATTGCTGCTGTCTGCAGACAAACTTGGAGTGATACCAATTCCCTCCTTTTAATAATCAAACTAATGATAAGGTAGCATTGTGCACTGAGTACCTTTGTGTGTGTGGTACTGAGAACAGAATCCAGGGCCTGTGGGTGCGAAGCACATGCAGTGCCACTGAGCTACACTTTCAATCCCCTACTATTTTTTTTTTTATTTCATTTTGTCCTCACAATAATCCTGCTAACTAGAGAGTTCTGTTTGTGATCACCTAATCTTGGTTGATATTGAAGAAGGAGAGGTAAAATCAGTCTCACCCTTTTGTTTTGGGGAATTTTCCCATACTCAGCTTTTTTCCCTTTACACAGAGAAACTCAGGACAGGCTCTTCTAAATTCAGTTAGCAACAATGTTTTATTTTAAAAGACACAGTGGACCAGATTGTTTTGTTCTGCTTGGACCAGTCTGSCCAGACAAACATTTTTATTTCTAGTATTGCTTGCTATTTTCTTCTGTGTAAGACAATGTCTTGAGCCAATGAAATTTAAGAAAGATAACTGTTCTTTCTCTTGGCCCTTGAGAGTGAGAGATGGTGTACTTGCCCTTGCTCTGGTGCCAGAGGGTAGAACAGTGTAAGCCACAGATGAATGTGAGCCTACATTTTGTTTTGGTCTTTGCAGTGCTGGGTGTGGAACCCAGGTCCTCACACAATCTAGGCAAGGACTCTACCCTCAGCCCCTATGAGCACATTTCAATTGTTTAAATTATATGCTTGAAACTTGACCCGTCCTGACTCCCCTTAAGAAAACAAGATGAACTTCTAGAAATTTGAGCTATGAAATTACAGTCCAGAGAGGAGTCTGAAACCTCGACTTGGTCAACATCCTCATCTGCCAGATCAGGAGTAGGAGTGGCCAGATCAGGAGAATTTCCAGCATAAGGTTCAGGTGGAGATCAGGATTGGATGCTTGGTGCTATTTGCCATTTCTAATATTTCCTTTCTTGTTGCATGTATACAATGAATATGCTCCCCCTTCCTTTTCTAGTACCTCTAGGTTAGGAATGCTTAATTCA